GACGATCCCATCGGTAAATATTTTTACTGTGCTCGTCGTTGCCTACTCCGTCTCAGAGGCGGCTTAGTCGTTGACCCCATGGTGCCCAGCACTGATCCGACCGTTGTGCTGTTGGCGTCTGACGGCGTGTTCGCAGGATCGCCGACTGCAGCGTGCGTGGTGAAGCAGCGACCGTCACCGGAGCTGAGGCGTTGGAAGGGCCCTCTCCAGGTGGTACCACGGGAGCCTGTCGTCCTCGGCGACGTGATCTCCACGGCAGGATGGAAAGATGTTGTATCATCGGCAGGGTCACAGCTGTCCTCGTCAACGGTGCGGGGAGTGGTGGCTTCTTCATCTTTGTCATCGATGGGCTTTCAGTCAGTGGTAAAGGTAAGCAGTTTGAATATTAGGGCCGTGGAGGGCGGGCAGACGGCCTGGCCCTCTGCGGTTATCATCTCAATCTCGAGGGCCATCAATGATGGGCATATGACCCGGTCCGACTCGGCTTTGCATGACAGCCCACGAGGCATGCATAGCTGACGTGACTATCACGTGTCTTAGGATTACGGTGGAGCTTTTGGAATCAGATACCTCAAACCATCCGAGTGGGACGAACGGCCACAATACTGCAACAACTAGCATGCACGATGAGGAAGATCCGGGAGAGAAGATGGCACCTTGGTCGCCAAGCAAGACAAGCAGGCGGAGAGGCTTATACATAGATAATTGATTGATTTACAGCCAAAGAGAAGAAATGAGAGAGTAGCCTATAATGCCCCAGTAGACAAGAACAGAGGACGACTCCTAAAACCCCCTCCTAGAGAAGTGATCCAGTATTAAAACTCCGAGATGTAACAATGCAAAATATAGATTATTAGGGCATCTACAACGCCGGGCGCTAAGCCTGGGCGCTAGGATAAATATCCTGCCCGGTCGGCAGTTGGACTACAAAATCCTAGCGTCTAACCTGGCAGCGACGCAAAAGCTGGAGGCGGGCGCTTTGCCTTTTTTTTCCCCACAGCCATGCATGTAGCGATCAGTTTTTCTGCTACTTCTGCGATTAATTAGCGTCCCTCGTTAGCGCTTGCCGTTGGGTTAGAAAGCACTAAGCTTCTTTCTTATTTTATGAGAATTATCTTTTTATTTATAAGCGTCCACGCAGGCGCCCAGCAATGGAGATGCCCTTAGGGGGTTAAGAGGACATTTGTGATACTTTGGGGGCAGAAAGTAGACTATTTCCTTAATAATCTTAGAAACAGTTACGAGTGTAAGTCGTGCACAAGTATTATACTGTACCATTCTGGAAGCCTCTCATCACGGAGAATTGGGGTCTGCCACTTATCGATTTCCTCTTCCCAATGCTTGTACTCTGTCAATCAGATGGGAATTCAGAAGTAATAAATTAACCAGAAAAATATCTCAACAGAGAGAGCACCGCTAGAACAGAGTAATCAAACCATAATCTTCATGTATGAGGAGAAAATTAACTGCTATAGTCAACAATATACCAAATTTATGCCACAAATTTTAAAAAACAAAAACATACTCATCAAGGCATCTTGCGCCAGGTTTATAGCAGATCTTGGAGAAGTTCCGTAGAACTTCGTATATCTCCTGCCAACAGAGCACGAAATCAAGCCTTATTAAACAAATGGAACAGCTGGTCTTATTGATCTTAGTATATATCAGATAAATAAACACAGAAAGTTTGAGAAAAGGTAGCAGAATTATAAATTAAGCATTCACAGTAGACACTATGGAATTGGATTTAAGTTCTACAATCACAATCACTGTTCTGTGAAGTATAATGCTACAGTAAGGATGGAGGATAAACTAATGAGATGTGCAGAAGATACAAGTTATCACCTACATTGTTCACAAGAGCTTTGAAGTTCAGAAGAGATGAATCAACATACTCATTTGGATTTAGCATTATTATCACCAAACATAAGAAGTTTGGAAAATAGAATTTACCTATGGTACCTACTTCCCTTCTTAAATTTAACCTCGGGAGAAGACCAAGCCAACGCAAATACGACCGTACATCTTCCATGTGGTTCAACCCAGGTTGAAGCAGAAACTGCTGCACAAACTGTATCACCCACTGAAGAAGGCATGCTGGGGCCAGCATTGAAATTATCTTGGTCAAAGCAACCACCCTTTCAAAAATCATATGATAAGACATAGTACAATCAAATATTTTTGCCAGTATTTGTTTATTTCAAATAGACAAATCAGTTCAATCTTCAATGTATGATTTCACTTCTTTGCATGAGTATCCAAATACCAAGGCTACAAAAAATAGGTGCAGTCTACTAAATGACTGTAGGACAAAAGGAAAAATCACCTGGACCATTGTGCCCCACATCTCCTTAGCAGTGACTGAACTTTCTCCAGAAAGCCCAAAAATTGGCAACACTGTGACATCAACATTTTGGTTTTCACGTGCAGCAACAGCAAATGTTACTGGAGGATTATTGTTGGCAGTCCTGCAACGTTTTTAATTGATAATTATTGCTAGACAAGCAAAACAGTAGATTAGAAGAAACATGCAGAGAACATCATGTATCTGGCAAAAACTTATTGCTTCTTTAGACAGAGATTGTGGGTGCTTCTAATACAAATATATGGATGAGAATACGTTATGTCACTGAAAAAAATCAGTCCCCAAATCGATCAGAACAAGCCAGTGTGGAGATACTGTTGCAAACAATGATCAGCTAGAAGCTCTTACTTTGCAGTTGACACTTCACAGAAATGCTTAAGGAAATCTGCCAAATGACCATAGAAAAGACAATTATGGACAGTTGATGACTTACTTGTGATGTAGGAGAACACCAGAAATTCCATTTTCTCCACTACATACGAAACAGATTGCAAATCATTTCACTATATTTTTAGTTATATCATAAACTGTAAACGTTAAGCAAAGCCCCAACTGACATGAATGGTTCATTTACATGACCGCCAGACTGATGTGAAAGTCCACCAATAGAATTCTGGGTTTGCATCAAGAACAGAACATGATTAAATCAAAGAAACAGAAGACAATATTACATAAGAACATTGGAGTAAAAGAGTAGCAGTTACTACCGCCCAGGTCATTACTAGGCTGACTTTTGCCCTTTCCTTTCCGGTGTTCACTAGCTGCACAATTTTCATACCCATACAAACATAAGATTACAGATACTACATAAGGCAGCAGTTATTAATAAGAAAAGGCATGATGCGAAATCAAAATTCTCTAGTAAAATTGGTGGTCATGCCACAGTAGTCAAATGTACAGTAATACTCTCAGTGTGTTAACAGCATATACACTCTCCATAAACATACACGAGCTCTGCATACAAGCTTATAAAACGAGGAGTTCAAATTTCAGACATGTGAAACATTAAGTCGATATTGTGCCATAATAAACATTGCTCCTACAAGTAATGAAGAACTTACAGTGTAGACAAAAATGGAGACTGGGAGACTACTCTCTTCGTAGTTGTGGGGAATAAATGGAGATATTTGACGGCAAGATAATTTCAATTCAGGATCAGGTTCACCTTTTAAATCAAATGGATAAGAACTTGTGAGTCTCATTAGCACCTACCTTTAATGATGTGCCTCATAATTCATACTAAAAGAACTTAGTGGTTTATATTTTAGTGGCGGAAGTGTTTAGTATTTATTTTTTATCTTATACAAAAAAATCCTGCATTTACCCCCTTCACTGCAAATAACACGTCGTTTTAGACACGGATACAGTCCTAAGCAGTAACTTCAACCTTCATCTTGTATATGAATATATGATTATGTTGCTAAGAAATAACAAAAGAATTATAAAATATTTAGAAAAATCTAATGATACAGTTTTTGTTTCTCAATAACCTGTTTATACCGTAGGTGTGGATGACTCCAATCAAACTAACCCGCAATATGCAGACCGGCTAGATCAATTCTCATATGGTTGCTAGCGCAGGCCGGTATCCATGTCTAAAACGACGTGTTATTTGCCATATGTCATTTTATCTGCTTCTGTTCATATCCTCCTCGAATTATGCTTGCACTGAGATTTTGCTTATACAGTTGGATCCTTCCCTTATAATTAAAACAAAAAATTTAAAAAATCAATGGCCAGCACCCTCAGCCTTCAATCCTTAGGTTCTACTCCCCCTGTTCCAGAATATAAGGTGTATTGATTTCTGTGCAAGTCAACCATTTGAATGTTTGACCAAGATTATAGAATAAAATAACAACATCTGCAATGCCTAGTAGATAAAATATGAAACTACTCTTCATGATGGATCAAATGATATGAATTTTGTATTGTGGATATTGATATATTTTTCTAAAAACTTGGTCAAACATGCACTCGTTTAACTTTTGGAAAAACAAATGCACCTTATATAAAGGAACGAAGGGGGTAATAATCAATGCTTATGCACTCCTTCGCCAATGCTCATGCTTGAGCCTAATAACTTTCCAACCACTTTTTTAGCGTATCGTCCTAAAGAATATGTTGTCGGTAGTCTAATATTTACAGAGCATAAGATGGTAAAAGGAAATTTTTTACTATATTTTTATAGGAGTCATGTATCCATTGCACATCATTAATGTATGTGGTGGGTCTAAGTTATTTAAATAACATGTAGCATGCATGTACTATCGTTTATAGTTCAAATAATAATAATTAACATGTGCGCTTAAAAATACTTTTGCATGTGAGATTTTTCTAAATGCAACTATGATGATCTATCATTTGTGATTTATGTAGCTATAGTTACAAAATATACTTGCTATGATCTGTGTAGGACTGTAGGTACAATGTAGCTATAGTTACGCAATCTAGCATTAATGATCTTGCGTAGGTACAATTATGAAGATCTAATAGGTGTGATATGTTTAGGCACAATTATGAAGAATCATAGGTTCGTTTATACAGATCTAACAGATGGGATCGGTTTAGGCATGCTTATGTACTAGATCTAATGGGTACGATCATTTAGGTACATTTATGTTGATCTAATGGGTATGATCTGTTTAGGTACCATTATATAGATCGAACGGTTGTGATCTACTAATAAAGAGACGGTCTACCAGATCAAAGATTAGTTGTTTTGCTTTTTTGCAGAAATTTCTAGCATACTTCTCTATTTTCTACCATATTGTTCTTTTAGTGTATATATATATAATATATAATAGACAGATGTGGAAAGCTCAAACATCATATACAGGTATTGTGCACGCCCAACTAAAAACTATGGCCTATGAGTCATAAGATAAGGAAACTGGAGCGATATTTTTATCATGATGTCCATCTTACTGCTTGGAGTGATTTCTTACTAAAATAAATGAGTAGCATTACCATCATAAACAGTCCATGCTCGAGGAAACAAAGCATGGTATGTTGAACGATCACCCCTTAATTTCCAATCCCAGGATGATATGCCATCATCGCTAGATTTTCTGAATGAAGAAACATAAAATGATCAGTCAAGTATTTACGATACAACTGATATTAGAAGCTATAGAAAGAAGAACCCACAAGAAAGGCGGATCATGCCTGTCTATATGGTCCACATAATTGAACAAAAATAGTCTAAAGAATGGCGCAAATCCGTTAAATAATTAAATAATTATTTTTTATAATAGACTGTGTCATGACTAACTCCGCCTATGTTGTCTCAACATAGCCAGTCCCAAGCCCGTGCAAAGGAGGAGGGTTGTGATAGGCTTGGTGAGCGAACCTCAAAACAAAGCCACTCTTATGGAGATGAAACCCAAAAGGACTTCGTTGGGGCGTAACCCTCTTTGCGACGCGACATGTCTGAACGCGGGTGTGGTTTTAAATGGGTAAGGGCCGGGCCGTCACCCCCTTGGTGGTGCGCCGTATCTTGATCTGGATACGGTGACAAGTGAGCAAGCATCGGATCGTCGCATCCACGCTGCATCGACGCCCGAGTGTAGTGAAAAGTGAGCAAGGATCGGGTCGTCGCATCCTTAGTGGCGCGCTACATCGACGTCCGGGTGTAGTGAAAAGTGAGCAAGGATCCTCGCATTTGACTCGACTAGTGCGAAGGGTAAGGAAGCTAGCCGAGCCAAGTAGGATCCTCTTAGGTAGTTGGAATGTAGATTGTAGGGTCCCTGACGGGCAAGTTGCAGGAGTTAGTTGATACAACAACGAGCAGAGATGTTGAGATCCTATGCGTACAAGAAACCAAATGGAAGGGACAAAAGGCGACGAAGGTGGAGAATAGTGGCGTCAAGCTGTGGTTCACGGGGACAACTACAAACAAAAATGGGGTAGGCATTTTGATCAACAAGAGCCTCAAGTATGGAGTTGTAGATGTCAAGAGGCCGGATTATCCTGGTCAAGGTGGTAGTTTGGGACTTAGTTCTCAATGTTATCAGCGCATATGCCCCGCAAGTAGGCCGCAATGAGAGCATTGAGATGGAGTTTTGGGAAGGCCTGGAGGGCATGGTTAGGAGTGAACCTATTGGTGAGAAGCTCCTCACGGGGGGAGACCTTAATGGCCACGTGTGTACATCTAACACAGGTTTTGAAGGGGTGCATGGGGGCTTTGGTTATGGCAACAGGAATCAAGGAGAGGATGTCTTAAGCTTTGATTTAGCCTACAACATGATAGTAGCTAACACCCTTTTTAAGAAGAGAGAATCCCATTAGGTGGCTTTTAATAGGGGCCAACACTCTAGCAGATTTATTTCATCCTCGAGAGAAGAGAAGACACGTGTGCTTGCCTAGATTGTAAGGTGGTACCTGGAAAGAGTGTTGTCCCTCAACATAAGCTTGGTGTGGATGACTTCCGCTTTAGGATACGTGTCTAGAGGGATAAGCGCCAAAGTCGCCACAACCAAGTGGTGGAAGCTCAAGGGTGGAGGAGGCAGTTCAAGCTTTGAAGAAGAGGGTTATTAAGGAGGGCTCTTGGGAGGAAGGAGGTGATGCAAACAATATGTGGATGAAGATTACGACTTGCGCTCGGAAGGTGGCTTCAGAGGAATTTGGGGTGACCAGGGAAAGTAGAAGCGAAGCTAAAGATACGTGGTGGTGGAACGAAGATGTCCAGAAGGCTATTAAGGAAAAGAAAGTTTGTTTCAGACACCTACACCTGGATAGGAGTGCAGACAACATAGAAGTACAAGGTGACAAAGAAGACCGCAAAGCGAGCGGTGAGTGAAGAAAGGGGTCGGACGTATGATGACCTCTACTAGTGTTTAAACACAAGGTAAGGCGAAAGGGCCATCTATAAGATGGCCAAGATCCGAGAGAGGAAGACGAGGGATGTCAACCAATTCAAATGCATCAACGATGGAGCATATCGGCTTTTGGTGAAGGACAAGTAGATCAAGAATAGATTGCGAGAGTACTTCGACAGACTGTTGAATGGAGAGAATGAGAGCTCTACCATCGAGCTGGATGACTCCTTTGATGATACTAGTCGATTTTTTGTGTGACCAATCCAAGAGTCTTGAGATCAGGGAGGCTTCAAAAATGATGAAAGGAGGCAAGGCCATGGGCCCTGATTATATCCCCATTGAGGTGTGGGGATGCAACTCCGCCTATGTTGTCTCAACATAGTCAGTCCCAAGCCTGGGTAAAGGAGGGTTGTGATAGGCTTGGCGAGCCAAAGTAAAAACTCAGCTACTCTTATGGAGATGAAACCCAAAAGATTTTCGTTGGGGCATAACCCTCTCAGCGACGCACCACATCGGAACCCGGGCGTGGTGTCAAATGGGCAAGGGCCGGGCCGTCACCCCCTGGTGGCGTGCCGTATCTTGATCCGGATACGGTGGCTAGTGAGCGAGGATCGGGTCGTTGCATCCTTAGTGGCGCGCTACATCGGCACCTGAATGCAGTGGAAAATGAGCAAGGGTCTTCGCATTTGACTCGACGAGTGCGAAGGGTAAGGAAGCTAGCCGAGCCTAGGAGGATTCGCTTAGGTAGCTGGAACGTAGGGTCTCTGACAGGGAAGCTTCGGGAGCTAGTTGATGCAGCGGTGAGGAGAGGTGCTGATATCCTTTATGTCCAAGAAACCAAATGGAGGGGACAAAAGGCGAAGGAGGTGGAGGATACCGGCTTCAAACTATTGTACACGGGGACGGCTGCAAACAGAAATGGCGTAGGCATCCTGATCAACAAGAGCCTCAAGTATGGAGTGGTAGACGTCAAGAGACGTGGGGACCGGATTATCCTGGTCAAGCTGGTAGTTGGGGACTTAGTTCTCAATGTTATTAGCGTGTATGCCCCGCAAGTAGGCCACAATGAGAACACCAAGAGGGAGTTCTGGGAAGGCCTGGAAGACATGGTTAGGAGTGTACCGATAGGCGAGAAGCTCTTCATAGGAGACCTCAATGGCCACATGGGTACATCTAACACAGGTTTTGAAGGGGCGCATGGGGGCGTTGGCTGTGGCATCAGGAATCAAGAAGGAGAAGATGTCTTAAGCTTTGCTCTAGCCTACGACATGATTGTAGCTAACACCCTCTTTAGAAAGAGAGAATCACATCTGGTGACTTCTAGTAGTGGCCAACACTCTAGCCAGATTGATTTCATCCTCTCGAGAAGAGAAGATAGGCGTGCGTGCCTAGACTGTAAGGTGATACCTGGAGAGAGTGTTGTACCTCAGCATAAGCTGGTGGTTGCTGACTTCCGCTTTCGGATTCGTGTCCAGCAGGATAAGCGTGCCAAAGTCGCTAGAACGAAGTGGTGGAAGCTCAAGGGGGAGGTAGCTCAGGCGTTCAAGGAGAGGGTCATTAAGGAGGGCCCATGGGAGGAAGGAGGGGATGCGGACAATGTGTGGATGAAGATGGCGACTTGCATTCGTAAGGTGGCCTCGGAGGAGTTTGGAGTGTCCAAGGGGAGGAGAAGCGAAGATAAGGATACCTGGTGGTGGAATGATGTTGTCCAGAAGGCGATTAAAGAGAAGAAAGATTGCTTCAGACGCCTATACCTGGATAGGAATGAGGACAACATAGAGAAGTACAAGATGGCGAAGAAGGCCGCAAAGCGAGCTGTCAGTGAAGCGAGGGGTCGGGCATATGAGGATCTCTACCAACGGTTAGGCACAAAGGAAGGTGAAAGGGACATCTATAAGATGGCCGAGATCCGAGAGAGGAAGACGAGGGATATTGGCCAAGTCAAATGCATCAAGGACGGAGCAGACCAACTCTTGGTGAAGGACGAGGAGATTAAGCATGGCGGGGGTACTTCGACAAGTTGTTCAATGGGGAGAATGAGAGTTCTACCATTGAACTGGACAACTTCTTTGATGAGACCAGCATGCGTTTCGTGCGGCGAATCCAGGAGTCTGAGGTCAAGGAGGCTTTAAAAAGGATGAAAGGAGGCAAGGCGATGGGCCCTGATTGTATCCCCATTGAGGTGTGGAAAGGCCTCGGGGAGATAGCGATAGTATGGCTAACCAAGCTTTTCAACCTCATTTTTTGGGGAAACAAGATGCCAGAAGAATGGAGACGAAGTATATTAGTACCAATCTTCAAGAACAAGGGGTATGTTCAGAGTTGTACTAATTACCGTGGAATTAAGCTGATGAGCCATACAATGAAGCTATGGGAGAGTCATTAAGCACCGCTTAAGAAGAATGACAAGCATGACCAAAAATCAGTTTGGTTTCATGCCTGGGACGTCGACCATGGAAGCCATTTTCTTGGTACGACAACTTATGGAGAGATACAGGGAGCAAAAGAAGGACTTGCATATGGTGTTCATTGACTTGGAGAAGGCATATGGTAAGATACCGCGGAATGTCATGTGGTGGGCCTTGGAGAAACACAAAGTCCCATCAAAGTACATTACCCTCATCAAGGACATGTACGATAATGTTGTGACAAGTGTTCGAACAAGTGATGTCGACACTGATGACTTCCCGATTAAGATAGGATTGCATTAGGGGTCAGCTTTGAGCCCTTATCTTTTTGCCTTGGTGATGGATGAGGTCACAAGGGATATACAAGGAGATATCCCATAGTGTATGCTCTTTGCGGATGATGTGGTGCTAGTTGACGATAGTCGGACGGGGGTAAATAGTAAGTTAGAGTTATGGAGACAAACCTTGGAATCGAAAGGGTTTAGGCTTAGTAGAACTAAAACCGAGTACATGATGTGCGGTTTCAGTACTACTAGGTGTGAGGAGGAGGAGGTTAGCCTTGATGGGCAGGTGGTACCTTAGGACACCTTTCGATATTTGGGGTCAATGCTGCAGGAGGATGGGGGTATTGATTAAGATGTGAACCATCGAATCAAAGCCGGATGGATGAAGTGGCGCCAAGCTTCTGGCATTCTCTGTGACAAGAGAGTGCCACAAAAGCTAAAAGGCAAGTTCTACAGGACAATTGTTCGCCCCGCAATGTTGTATGGCGTTAAGTGTTGGCCGACTAAAAGGCGACATGTTCAACAGTTAGGTGTGGCGGAGATGCGTATGTTGAGATGGATGTGTGGCCACACGAGGAAGGATAGAGTCCAGAATGATGATATACAAGATAGAGTTGGGGTAGCACCAATTGAAGAGAAGCTTGTCCAACATCGTCTGAGATGGTTTGGGCATATTCAGCACAGGCCTCCAGAAGCTCCAGTGCATAGCGGACGGCTAAAGCGTGCGGAGAATGTCAAGAGAGGTCGGGCTAGACCGAATTTGACATGGGAGGAGTCCGTTAAGAGATACCTGAAGGATTGGAGTATAACAAAATGAACTAGCTATGGACAGGGGTGCGTGGAAGCGTGCTATCCATGTGCCAGAGCCATGAGTTGGTCGCGAGATCTTATGGGTTTCACCTCTAGCCTACCCCAACTTGTTTTTGGACTAGAGGCTTTGTTGTTGTTGTTGAGGTGTGGAGATGCCTTGGAGACATAGCGATAGTATGCCTAATTAAGCTTTTCAACCTCATTTTTCGATCAAACAAGATGCCCGAAGAATGGAGGCGGAGTATATTAGTACCAATCTTCAAGAATAAGGGGGATGTTCAAAATTGTACTAATTACTGTGGAATTAAGTTGACGAGCCATACAATGAAGCTATGGGAGAGTCATTGAGCACAGCTTTAGAAGAATGACAAGCATGACAAAAAAAATAGTTAGGTTTCATGCCTCGGAGGTCGACCACGAAAGCTATTCTCTTCGTACGACAATTTATGGAGATACAGGGAGCAAAAGAAGGACCTACATATTGTGTTCATTGACTTGGAAGACCTACGATAAGATACCGCAGAATGTCATATGGTGTGCCTTGGAGAAACACAAGTCCCAACAAAGTACATTACTCTCATCAAGGACATGTAAAACAATGTTGTGACAAGTGTTCGAACAAGTGATGGCGACATTGATGACTTTCCAATTAAAATAGGACCGCACCAAGGGTCAACTTTGAGCCCTTATCTTTTTTGCTTCAGTGGTGGATGAGGTCACAAGAGATATATGAAGAAATATCCCATGGTGTATGCTCTTTCCAGATGATGTGGTGCTAGTTGACGATGGTTGGACGGGGCTTAATATAAAGTTAAGAGTTGTGGAGACAGACGTTGGAATCTAACGCTTTTAGGCTTAGTAGAACTAAAACTGCTTACTAGGCACAAGGAGGAGGAGGTTAGCCTTGATGGGCAGATGGTAACTCAGCAGGACACCTTTCGATATTTGGGGTCAATATTGTAGAAGGATGGTGATAACGATGAAGATGTCAGTCATCGAATCAAAGTCGGATGGATGAAGTGGCGCCAAGCTTCTTGCGTCCTCTGTGACAAGAGAATGCCACAAAAGCTAAAAGGCAGTATCTATAGTACAGCGGTTCAACCTGCGATGTTGTATCCCGCAGAATGTTGGCCAACTAAAAGGCGACATGTCCAATAGTTAGGTGTAGCGGAGATGCGCATGCTGAGATGGATATGTGGCCACACAAGAAAGGATCGGGTCTGGAATGGTGATATACGTGATAGAGTTGGGATAGCACCAAGTGAATAGAAGCTTGTCCAATATTGTCTGAGATGGTTTGGGGATATACAACACAGGCCTCCAGAAGAGCCGGTGCATAGTGGGGGATAAAGTGTGTCAATAATGTCAAGAGAGATCAGGGTAGGGGGTGCATGGAAGTTAGCTATCCATGTGCCAGAATCATGACTAGATTTCGAGATCTTATGGGTTTCAACTCTAGCCTACCCCAACTTGTTTGGGACTGAAAGGCGTTGTTGTTGTTGTACTGTGTCATGACTGCTATATATATTCTTACATACGAAGACCGAAGAGAAGATTCCAGACTTGCATCCATTAGACAGAACATCCATAGAGAAAATTTCAGGAAATTAAGAATGTACTGTCTGACAGGGCAAAACGAATCATACTTTAAACCGTCATGCTGACCAGGAGCTAAAACTGAGGAGTACTTTTTGCTTCCTCCTTCTCTAGTTATAAAGATCTGTGGTAAATTAAGAACAGAATGAGTAAAAAAATGAGAGGTGTGTTTTAGCCTTTTAGGTAAGAAATTGTACTTCTAGCAAAATCATGCACTGCTTGGTTTACACTTGTAGAGAACTTAAGAGTGTAGATAAAGATACATCACAAAGCTTATGTAACACGCATGATCACGAAAAGGAAAACTTACTTAACACATGAGGCAGAATAATCTTCAAGGGCATTTGTTTTTAGTATGGAACAAGTGAGTTTTCATCAAACCTCAACAATCCAAAATCATGATGCCATTTTCAATATGTAACAAACAATTAGGACATTAGTATATTTTTGCTTAACTAGCAGTGCATCAATGATCTATCTACCTGGTGGCTAACACAACAGAGGGTTCTCAATAATGATCTACTCTTTGTTGGCTGAGAACACCATGAAGTATCATATTCCAAACAACTATTCCAAAGGATAATATGAGGGGAAGAAAAATAATATAAACTACTCCCTTTGTTCCAAATTATTAGAAGTTCTAGCTTTGTCCTAAGTCAATCTTTCTTTATGTTTGACCACTTCTATAGAATAGTGTATCAACATGTACATGAAACTGAGAAAAAAGGTAAATATTTGAGGATATAGCATGTTTTAGCAGGGTAAAAGGTCAGTCACCGAAAATTGGTTTTCCATCACTGGTGACATATCACATGAACCAGGAGTTATCTGCCAATGCTTGAACTCCCCTCTAAAACCTCTTGATATGCTACCAGTCCTGAAAAGGGGAATAAATTATAAATAGGGAGCAATTGTTGGCAACAGAAGTAATGGAAGCATGTTTGTGAAGTTTATCATCATGAGGTACACACACCCCATCCCACCAAGGGGTACTCCTTGTGAGGCTGATGGTTTGCTGCTCTCCCTCGTGAATGGATCAATCGGTGCTTTCTGAAAATTGATAAATATCCATGTTAAAAGGAGTCAATAAATAAAGGTACACTTGAATGTAACAAGGTTTTCCTTACATAGAACATTTAGTAATATGAAATGCACAATAAGCAGGCTCTTGATACATCAGCCCCCAAGACCAGGGACCTGTGTCAGCAGCTACTGCTACAGTTTTGCCGTGATCAGAAATTTATGTTTTTTGTTTCAATGTTCTTCTTTTGTATAATTTTCTTTCATTTGTTTGGAATTGGTTTTTGGTTTGGGTTTGTATTCTGAGGCTTCTCGGTGCCTTTCTTCTAAATTCTAATACAAAATTACGTGAAATTAGATGCATGCTTAAGAAAAAAAATCAGCATGCCAATGCATTACCCTTCCATGAGAAGCTTCTTCTCGAACATATGACCAAAGCCGGAGACCAAGCTTCATCTGATGGTCAAGGGGAAAACATAATTTGGACATCTTCCTCAAGACTTCAGAAGAATGACAACACGGACAGTTAGTACCTCTGTTTGACAATTGCATTTTTCATACCATTTTAAATGCTTCTCTGAACGTAACATTGAACTCCTTCAGTCTATTAGCGTGACTACTTAATTTCCTTCTCCAAGCATGTTCTGGTGGTGTGCCGTCATCGAAGTCCAGCTGCAGGTGTTGCCATAAAAATCAACAAGAAACATCAGAATAATGAGGACAGTAACAACAACAGCCTGTTGCAACTATATGATCTAACAAATCCCTAGCATATTCTGGGAATGATGCCACATGTTTTACCAAAAACTAACAATAACTCCTTTCCGAATAAAAAGAAGTCTGACATGAGTCTGTGATGCCTTAGTCATGAAATTTGATCTCTTGACTGCATAAAGCCTGATAAACTGTTTTAGTACAGGTACAACTTCTGAATATTGACAGCAATAAACATGCCATAAAAAAATACACAAAAATAGAAGGACTCTGGATATTCAAAGCGGCCATAATAATCAGCAACATAGCAGACTAAAATATATCAGCAAAATGCTGTTGACTTGGAGAATGTCGAATGGCGCAATATTACAATTTTGCCACCTCCCCAATACGCACAAAGAAACAATGTCTGCAGGCCGATTCTGACTGGCAAGTGGCAACTGATAGCAATTGATGGGAGATGATGAAGAAGGTCCTCACCAGATGCAGGGTGCTCCTGCTCACTAACTCATCGCGGCGCCATGAGTGCTTCCTCCGGTAGAACAAGCTGCCGCCGGAGGAGGACTTGCCGCGGGGCATGGCGGAATCCCCGGTTTATTCGAAAAATAAACTGGTGCTGGTAGTATTAGTTGAGGGCAGCTTGGATAGGGTCAACCGAGATTGGTCTTCAAGAGGAGGGAAAATTTTAGTTTGATTCGATTCTTGAAAACAAAGAAAAAGACGAGAGCAAAGACGAACAAACAATACAAGCAAACTATAGCGAACAACCCTTGCTTTCCAGCAGAGGGAACCACGTCACCAGAAGATGGGAGAAGGAGGCTGACGAAGAGAAGAGGCGAAGGATTCCGGCGGAGGAGGAGAGAGGACTTTATTGGGGAAGACTGCCGCGTGCCGGCCCGCCCACATTCAATATAGATAGTCCCTATTTTACTCCCTTTGTTCCATTTTTTTAAAAGCACCTTTGTTCCATATATATATTAATAAAAATGTAGTAGTATAAAGTTACCAAGTCAACAACATTTAATTTAAAACAAAGGAAGTCCCTAAATAACTATGCGTCCCTACATGATGTAACAATATTAAAAAGGACGTCCATAACAGGTGCGGCGGTTGATAGTCAATTCTGATTCTCTATGTGCTAGGATTTTTAAGGCAAAGTATTACCCAAACCAAGATATCCTTAAAGCTGGCCCCAAGAAGGGTTCGTCTTTCACATGGCAAAGTATAGTTGCGGGTATTCAAACTTCTAAAAGAGGTTACATCTTGCGTGCGGAAAACGACAAGTCCATCAACATGTGGAGAGACCCATGGATTCCAACCAGACCAAATAGAAGGATTATCTCTCAGAGGGGGGTTGTCCTGATTGATAGGGTGTCAGACCTAATCGATCCAGGGACGGGTAAATGGGATGAGAACTTGATTCGGGACATTTTTTTTGTGGTAGATGCAACACGAATTCTAAGGATACCACTCAGCCCAAACGGGTTCAAGGACTTCGTGGCGTGGCACTTTAATAAATCAGGAACTTTTTTTGTCAAGTCGGCATATCACGTGGAGTGCAGACACCAATTTGAAAATATTTCACAACAGTTTGCATCTTCATCCGCAGGTTCAAATCCTATATGGTAAAATCTGGAAGCTTGTGGTTCGTGGTAAAATAAAAATATTTTGCTGGAGGGCTCTTCATGCGACACTCCAAGTGAAAGCTATAATTATAAATCGCCACATAGGGACAAATCCTTTATGCCCCATGTGCCATAATTATCTCGATGATATTTCACATCTTCTCTTTGAGTGTTCGTCGGCTCAACACCTTTGGAAAGAACTGAAGCTTGAAGAGCGGATTATGGCATCTTTTGCTGTAGATAGATCAGGTTCAGAAATGATGGAAGAATTACTTGAATCATCATCAGTTCAGTATTGTGGTCTCCGAAATGTGGGGGTGGTTGAGGTCATAGATACAACATGTTGATACTTGTGGTGGATTCGTCGTGAAACAACACATTCAGAAAAGGTTCCAGCTGCTGCTAGTTGGATGATGTTTATCTTGGCGTTGTGCAATGCTTATGTGAAAGCTAATCAAAGGTGTACAATGAGAGAGGTTGAGAAGTGAAAGAAACCAGGTATGGATCAACTCAAACTAAACGTTGATGCTTCATACCATAGTGACATAGGTATGGGCGCTACTGCAGCGGTGATTATGGATTCTCGTGGTAAATTTGTGGTTGTGGCTTGCTCTTTTATCCCTTATGCGTCTGAAGCCTTTACATTGGAAGCATTGGCCATGAAGCATGGTTTGTCCTTCGTTTCTTCTCTGGGTATCAACCTTATTGCGGAATCTGATTCTTCTGAGGTTATTGATGCTTGCACAAACACTACATAGTGGAATGAAAGTGCCCCAATCTTTGTTGATTGCATGGACTTGATCGCTTTTATTGGGAACGTCCAATTTTGTCATTGCTTATGGGAGGCAAATTTTGTCGCTCGCGAGATTGCTATGCATAGTTTTGAGAACATTTTTTCTTGTAATTGGGTCAATGAACCTCCAGACTTTATTCTCAAACTTCTCATGAACGATGTAAGCCTTATTTGACTTTCAATAAAGTAAGCCGTGATGGTGTTTCCTTAAAAAAGACGTCCATGAAGGAAATATGCCCTAGACGCAGTAATAAAGTTGTTATTTATATTTCCTTATATCATGATAAATGTTTATTATTCATGCTAGAATTGTATTAACCGGAAACTTAGTACATGTGTGAATACATAAACAAACAAAGTGTCCCTAGTATGCCTCTACTTGATTAGCTCGTTAATCAAAGATGGTTAAGTTTCCTAGCCATAGAAATGTGTTGTCATTTGATAAACGGGATCACATCATTAGAGAAAGATGTGATGAATAAGACCCATCCGTTAGCTTAGCACTATGATCGTTTAGTTTATTGTTATTGCTTTCTTCATGACTTATACATATTCCTATGACTATGAGATTATGCAACTCCTGAATACCGAAGGAACACTTAGTGTGCTATCAAAAGTCACAACGTAACTGGGTGATTATAAAGATGCTCTACAGGTGTCTCCGATGGTGTTTGTTGAGTTGGCATAGATCGAGATTGCGATTTGTCACTCCGAATGTCGGAGAGGTATCTCTGGGCCCTCTAGGTAATGCTCATCACTATAAGCCTCGCAAGCAATGTGACTAATGAGTTAGTTACAGGATGATGCATTATGGAACGAGTAAAGAGACTTGCCGGTAACGAGATTGAACTAGGTATGATGATACCGACGATTGAATCTCGGGCAAGTAACATACCGATGACAAAGGGAACAACGTATGTTGTTATGCGGTTTGACCGATAAAGATCTTTGTAGAATCGAGCCAATATGAGCATCCAGGTTCCACTATTGGTTATTGACCGGAGATGTGTCTAGGCCATGTCTACATAGTTGTCGAACCCATAGGGTCCGCACGCTTAACGTTCGATGATGATTTGTATTATGAGTTTATGTGATTTGATAACCGAAGGTTGTTCGGAGTCCCCGATGAGATCACGGACATGAAGAGGAGTCTCAAAATGGTTGAGACATAAAGATTGATATATTGGACCATGTTATTCAGACACCAGAAGTGTTCCGGATAGTTTCGGGTAAAACCGAATTGCCGGAGGGGTTACCGAAACCCCCCCCCCCCGGGAACTAATTGGCCACCATGGGCCTTGTTGGAGAGAGAGGAGGGCAGCCAGGGCAGCCCCCCCTTGTAGTCCGAATTTGACAAGGGAAGGGGGTGGGGCCCCCCCTTCCCTACTCCCTCTCCCTCTCCTTCCTTCCCCCCCTCTTCCTTGTGGAGGAATCCTACTAGGATTGGTAAGTCTAGTAGGACTCTCTCTCCTTGGGCGCGCCCCTAGGGCCGGCCGGCCTCCCCCTCCCTCCTTTATATACGGGGGCAAGGGGGCACCCTAGAACACACAAGTTGATCTTTTAGCCGTGTGCGGTGCCCCCCTCCATAGTTACACACCCTGGTCATATCGTCGTAGTGCTTAGGCGAAGCTCTGCGCTAGTAACTTCATCATCACCGTCGCCACGCCGTCATGCTGAAGGAACTCTTCCTCGGCCTCAATTGGATCAAGAGTTCGAGGGACGTCACCGAGCTGAACGTGTGCTGATCGCGGATGTGCCGTACGTTCAGTACTTGGATCGGTTGGATCGCGAAGACGTTCGACTACATCAACTGCGTTACTAAACGCTTCCGCTTTTGGTCTATGAGGGTACGTAGACACACTCTCCCTGCTCGTTTCTATGCTTCTCCTAGATAGATCTTGCGTGATCGTAGGCAAAAAATTTGAAATACTACGTTCCCCAGCAGTCCATAACTGGTAAGCGTTTGCCAAGGAGGGTGGCATTTGCGAACTTCCGCCTCATAGTTTTAGTTGAGAGGGAGAGGGAAAAGGTGGTAGTTTCTTAGGGTGACATGGTAGCTTCTCTGTGAGAAGGAAATTTTCGTTTAAAAACTGTTGTCATTTGATCTTGTTTTACAACTAACGCCCGCCAACTGCCATTACCAATAAAAAAGGATGGCGCGTGATACGTCCATTTTGCATCATATTTTCCTACTGTTATTTTATAATGTTTTTATGCATAATAATATGTTTTGGAGTATTTATAATGCCTTTTCTCTCATGTTATGCAAGTTTTACACAAAGAGGGAGAATACCGACAACTGGATTCTAGACCTAAAAAAGCTACGTCAAAGTTACCTATTCTGCACATCTCCAAATAAGCTGAAACTTCACGAAGATTTTTTATGGAATATTTAAGAATTATTGGAGCAAATAACTACCAAAGGGGGCCCACCAGGTGGACACAACCCTCCTGGGCGCGCTAGGGCCCCTAGGTGCGCCCTGGTGGGTTGTGCCTCCTCGGCCCACCTCCGGTGCCCTTCTTCTGGTAGACAAGTCATTTTGACCCAGAAAAAAAATAACAGGAGGACTTTCGGACGAAGCACCACCATCTCGAGGCGGAACTTGGGCAGGAGCACTTTTACCCTCCGGCGGAGCGATTCCGTCGGGAGAACTTCCTTCCAGGAGGGGGAAATCATCGTCATCGTCATCACCAACAACTCTCCCATATTTGGGAGGGCCATCTCCATCAACATCCTCAAGAGCACCATCTTCTCTCAAACCCTAGTTCATCTCTTGTGTTCAATATTTGTACTGGAACCTTAGATTGGTACTTGTGGGTGACTAGTAGTGTTGATTACATCTTGTAGTTGATTACTATATGGTTTATTTGGTGGAAGATTATATGTTTAGATCCATTGTGTTATTTAATACCCCTCTAATCTTGAGCATGGTTATTATTTGTGAGTAGTTACTTTTGTTCTTGAGGTCGCGGGAGAAGTCATGTTGCAAGTAATCATGTGAACTTGATATGTGTTCGATATTTTGATGATATGTATGTTGTGATTCCCTTAGTGGTGTCATGTGAACGTCGACTACATGACACTTCACCATATTTGGGCCTAAGGGAATGCATTGTGGAGTAGTTATTAGATGATGGGTTGCTAGCGTGATAGAAACTTA